CCCGTCCAGCGTTCCTGGACGCACCGGCCGGGTCAGCCTCTCCTGTTCGGTCCCGCCCGGCCCTTGCCCGCCTTGCGTTGCAGACCTGTTGACAGGTGCAGTCCGCCCGCTTACATGGACACCGTCGCGTTTACTTGAGCAAATGTTCATGGTGCCCCATTAGAAAATTCCTCCCACCTCCCATCTCAGCCCAGGTTGGGGGCGGGGAGGGGCTCTGAAGTCACCCAGCCAACAAACCAACCACCTCCCGTCCCAGCCAGGCTGGAAAATTCCAAAGTCAGCCAATCAACTGTGCTTACTCCACCTGGCCTCCCAGATGCTATGACCCTGGGTGGGAAGAAGACAAACAGACAAGGAGAAACTAACATCAGTTTGATTAACGCCCACACAAAGAGTGTAGTTAGGAAGCGTGGGCGCTAGATGCAACAGATGGAAAAGCTTCATGGCCCTGGGTTTGTAGGATGGCTCTTAGCTCAGACGTCGCCCCCGAAGAGGTCTTCCTTCACCCTTCAGCAGATCCTCCGACACCTGTTCCCCCATTACAACATCCTGATGCACTTTTTTTAGTACTTACCACCTCTCAGAGATCATCTTGTTTATTTGTTTAACCTCCACTGTAATGTAAGCCCTTGAAGGCAAAGTTTTTTTTTTTTAATGCCTACAGTCCCTGGTCTTCCTAGATCGTCTCCCATCCAAGTGCTAACCAGGCCCAACCCTGCTTAGCTTCCAAGATCAGACAGGATCGGCTGGATCAGAGTGGTGTGGCCGTAGACTTGAAGGCAAAGATCTTGCCTGTCTTGCTTAATGACGATTCTTGGTACCTCATTGAGTAAGGGTTCACTGATTATTTATTGATCAATGAAATAATTATTTGTGGAATAAGTGACTGAAATCATCTAGTTTATCAGTTAACTTCCACTAGACTGCAAGCCTCTGAAGGCGAGGCTCTTGCCAGACTTGTTTAATGATTCTCAAGTACCTACATAATAGTTATTTGTTGCATGGATGGAATGAATGACCAAGAAGTTGAGGGGGCAGGAGGGAATGGCAGGTGGTTTCATCCACAGATGAGTCTTGTTTGGGAGACAAACTGCTTGGCCCAGCCTTCAGAAAAAGCCCTTCCTCCCCTCCTCCCCTCATAGTCCGCAATCTTGTACCCCCTAATAGGAACAGTTGACATTTAAAATGATGGCTGGCGGTTTAGAAGCTAGTTAGCACTGCTTCATTCTCTTTCTTAGCTCATTTAATTGTTGAAAACAAATAGCCAGGTTAATTTAGGAGGGAGGATAATTTTTTAAAAATAGCTAAAATTCTTTATATAGAAAAACAGAAAAATTACATTAGACAGGAAGGAAATAATATGGTTGAGTAGTTGCTAAGTGCAATTTGTGCTACCTAGGACTTAAAAAAAAAAAAACAAAACCCTACAGTACTTAGAGTGAATTCTTGGGGAGGTAACGCTTTCAGGGTTGCTGAGAGTGCCTCAGCCTTGATCAAGATGCGAAGTTGATGGCGCTGAGTGTTAAAACACTGCTTGGGGAACTGTCAGCACAGAACAGCCTGTGCCTGCTATTCCTGGACCTCCAAGAAACCAGTGGCGCTGTCTGTCCACTCCTTCGCACACCAGCCCTGATCTCAGCCCTTCACCAAACCCTTCCCTGTGGTCCAGAAAGACACTCCGCCCACCATCTTCTGCAAAGGGGCTGCAGGACAGTCGTGGGTCTCTCTGCTCTAAACACCAAACCCTCACTGTAAATATCTTCTCGTTTTTCCTTGACTGTCTTTTAGTTTCTCAGCCAGATGTGAAGGTCCTTTCTGGTAGGACTCACATCTGCATTCCCCCCCCCCCCCCCCCACCACCAGGGAAGAGCTAGGGATCTGGGGATTGTGTGTCATCCCTGGGGCAAGTGCCATAAAAACCAGTCACCTACTTAATTTCAAATTAATGACCTGATAATGACTCCTGTTTCTGTGAGAGGTACCATCAGTGATAACAATGCTTACGTATGTAAAAACCATTCATTTGATTCCTTTGGGTGTTTCTAAATGAGTCTCTATGAGACAAGATACGTGTAAAGGTCTTGCTCTCCCAATCCGAGGTGCTGTTATTTCTGCCTTGGGGACACAGGGAGAAAATAGTCGGGTCTTCGATCTCCACCCTTCCACGCTCTACCCCCCATCACTCCAGACGCAGTAAGTAAGATGGGCTGATGTAGTACGGGTGGGAGGTAGGTGCCATGTAATTTTCACGAATTAAAAAAAAAAACAAAAACTAATGCAGAAATCTTGAACTGGACAGAATAACGTTCTCTAAAATAAACAGAATAGGGATCCTGGATGGTGCGCATTGGCGCTGCCCACGCGCCCTGTATTAGTGGGGCCCAGAGCCAGGCAGGCCTGGCGGGGGCGGGGGTGGGGTGGTGGATGAAGTCGTGTGCTCCAACTTCAGCCGGCCCCAGCTCCTTCTGTTTCCAAACTTGAGTCATTCACTCGCCATCTTCACAGTTTGCCCTATTTTCATACCACCTGTTCCATTATTACTTAATTTTCATATCAGCTTTTTTACAAATAAACTTGAAATGAAACGATATAACTACTGTCAACAGAAAAATCGGTATTTTTTTGATGTATGCTAAATACATAACTATTAAAGTAAAACAATAAGATTTCTACTGCCTTTCCTAGAGTCCCGTAGTGGGCGTGCCCCCTCCAAGGTGCTCTTGACCTTTATCTCTGACTTCATGGTGAGCTTCTTCAACCTTCTTCCCCTCCTCTTCAAAATGTCTTTCATTTGCATTAATCCTCTCTGTATTTCTTTTGGACTCCTTTCTCCTTTCCAATCTATTTTCCTTTGCTCCCTTCATTTATTCATTCAACAAACAGCCACTGATTACCCATTCTCGGTCATCCCTGAATTCACGGAGCTTACGTTACACCAGGGGTTCTCAACCAGGGCGATTTCTTCCAGAGGACGTTGGGCAATGTCTGGAGACCTTTTTGGCTGTCACTTCTAGGAGCGGGGTGCCACTGGCATTTTGTGGGTAGAGGCTAGTGATGCTGCTAAGCACCCTACAGTGCACAGGACAGAGACGGTCCCCCCACAACAAAGAAGTACCCAACTTCAAATATCAGTAGCGTCACAGTGTATGTAGAAGCCCTAGGTCAGAGCTAAGAGTCTGGCCTTGATCTTTTGTCCTTGTAACATCTGTTACTCGCTGCCCGTCAGCAGGCCTCTCTTCCACACCCTGGAACTTTGTGCCCGGCGTACTCCGCTGAGAATGTACTGCCCCTCGATTTGCCCTGAAGACTCTAACATCTTGAGACTGAGCATATATCCCCTCCACCCCCTGCCCGGTGCCTCATGGACTTGGCTTTGCCCCAGCTCAGCTCAGTGCTTTGTTTCTGCTCTGAGCTCCTGTCGGCATTTTATGTTGACCTTATTATCATAGTGTGTGTGCGTGTGTGTGTCCACAATGGCAATTTAAAGTACAAAGTCATGACTTCTCTTTTAGTCTATTGGGTTGCTATAATAAAATATCACAGACTGGGTGGCTTATAAATAACAGAAAGCTATTTCTCACAGTTCTGGAGGCTGGAAGTCTGAGATCAGGGTGCCAGCGTGGTGCGGTGGCCATCTTCTCTCCATGTCCTCACGTGGCAGAAGGGGCCCTGATCCCATTGGTGAGGACTCCTCTTTCATGATGTCAGCACCTCCCAGAGGCCCCGCCTCCTAGTTCTGGCACTGGACATTGAGATTTCAGCATATGAATTTTGAGGGACACATCCAGAGCATAGCAACCTTTGTGTTAGAGGCATGGGGGGATCTCCCTATCTAACTCTTCATTTTTGAGTTGTTGCTGTCATGTGGCCACACAGAATCATCAAAACATAAAAATATTCACTGCAGAACCAAACACACACTCGAGACCCACTTGTCGAGCCCAAGTGTCTGCTGGTTGGTCTCTCACTGGTTGTCCATAGCTAAAAATATACCACAAATGGTAGGAAAGCGCGATGGAAACTCTTGGAAAAGGTGTAGGATTTTTTCAGGTTGAGGAGGGTGATGGTGATACTCAAGACCGCCTCCATCACCCGGGAAACCACGGGCAGATGACTTCACGGAGAATTCAGACAGTTCACAGCTGAGAAGAGAAAATCGAGGAGGAAGAAGCATGTCACGTGTCAGGGATTGGCATGGTTAAGCATTGGGGCAGGCCCACGGGGAGGCTGACCAAGTCCTTGAATGTTTCTGCAAAGATCTCCGTTGCTGTGATTGGGCTGTGAAATTCAAACATATTGTGTAGTGCGTTTTACAGCTTGGTGGGGAAAATTGTGGCAAAAAGTAGCACTTGATTTGATGTAATAAGGATTTGCATAGAGTGACGTTTTAACCTAAGGGGTGTGTGTGTGTATATATCTCATAATATATAAAATATGTGTCATAATATGTATGCATATCTGTATATATATGTGTATGTGTGTATAAATAAACTTACCATCATCGTTTTCTATTTCTTTTTTCAGGATAAAATCTCAGCTGCAGTTTTTGTTTTCCATTATTTACTATGAAATTTTGGTGTTGGTTTTAAGTGAATTCGCTGGGCTTATTGGGCACCAATTATATACTAAAAATGAGAGTTTCTTATACCCCAAGAGCTGGGGCTTCATAGGAAGATCAGTTAGGAAAAAGAGGCAGTAAGTACTTAG